AATGACGGTCACAGTGCGGAGAGATTGGAGAGCCATTTGTGTGAAATGGTGTAGGATCTTCTGCTGGAGCAGCGGGTTGGACTAGATGACCTCCAAGGTCCCTTCCAATTCTATTATTCTCACTCACACTCAAAAATTCTGGTTTTTATAAAGTTTTAACTCCCTGGCACAATATTGTGCTGTCTGCCTCTTTTTTGGTTTCCCCTGGCAATGACATTTGGTCTCTAGTTAAAGCTGTGAATGATGGAAGCAGAGGGCGTGTGTGCCTTATGGGCTTCGGTGGCCAAATGTTCAAGATCTGCCTTTGGTGTAACTAGAATGTTGTGTTCTTTTGCTGGAGGGGAGGGCTGTCGCTCGGGGAGGGGGGGAGACAGAGAAATCAGCCTGTGACTGAAGAGGAATCAGAATAAAAGGATAACAGAGTTGGAAGGGACCCTGGAGGTCATCTAGTCCAACCCGCTGCTCCAGCAGAAGATCCTACACCATTTCACACAAATGGCTCTCCAATCTATCCGCACTGCGACCGTCATAAGTACATGCCAGTGGCCAAGCATTCAACTCAAATGCAATCCTTTGTGCGAATGATATGATAAGCTGTGTTATTTGTACTCGCATGGGCTTTTATAATACCATCTCAGCTTGTCCCGGATACGCGTGGCGTGTCTACTTCCACTCCTGCCAAAAAGGATGGCTTACCTGCATCAAGGTACGGAGGGACTCCACATAGGACTGCTCCGTGTCCAACAGGGTCATGGTGACATGTTTCCGCATATCCTGCAAGGAAGAACAGAGGGGCATTAAAAGATCATCTGTCTTGCCATATGTACATATGCCGTGTCCTTCTCCGGGCGCAAATAATCCTCAGAATGTGCGTACCTCACCGCAGAGGTAGCGATGAGTGTGCCACCTCTTTGCCTAGGTCTAACCCACTTCTGGACCTGATCTGCCGTCCCAGACGCCTCCAACTCTAAACACGCGCAGAGTTATATTTATAGATAAAATATAAATAAATATGAGATCGGAAGGGCGACATTTGCCAGCAATTTGCAGCCTGTCGCGAAAGAGATTCTGCGGGATCGACTGGCGTCNTGGCCGTTTACAGCTTCTTGGATTGGAGTCATTAACTGGGCTCCTTAGCTTGGTGCACATTAGCGCCTTGCCCAATCAAATTTTGGGGGGGTCTCCATATCCCATAATCCCTTATCCTTGGCCATGTTGACTGAGGAGTCCTTGGTGCTCTCGGAGTTTGGTGATTTCAAACATTTCAGACATACATACTACATATGTGTTTATATCGTCATAAATAAGTGTTTCTATTTACTGTTATTTATTATGATATAAACACAGACTGAGGGGCCTATGGGCCGCATCCGTGTCCCCCCCCCCCCGGGAGGGGGTCTTAGATCTGGCCCGTGGGACCAGCCTGGAAATAGCAAAGAACCAGCCCGCGCTAACTAGGTAACATCATTATAATCAAAGTTGGTTAACTGCCTTTCATGCCTAAGGCGGGACTAGAACTCACCGTCTCCTGGTGATTGGGCCAAAGTCACCCAGATTTCATGCCGAAGACAGCACTAGAACTCACTGCCTCCTGGTGATTGGGCCAAAGTCACCCAGATTTAATGCCTTAAGGTGCCACTAGAATTCACTGCCTCCTGGTGATTGGATCAAAGTCACCCAGATTTCATGCTGAAGGTGGCACTAGAATTCACCGCCTCCCGGTGATTGGCCCCAAATCATCCAGATTTCATGCCTAAGGCAGGACTAGAACTCACTGCCTCCCAGTGATTGGGCCAAAGTCACCCAGATTTTGTGCCTAAGTTGGCACTAGAATTCACTGCCTCCTGGTGATTGGCTCAAAGTCACCCAGATTTCATGCCGAAGGTGGCGCTAGAATTCACCGCCTCCCGGTGATTGGCCCCAAATCATCCAGATTTCATGCCTAAGGCAGGACTAGAACTCACCGTCTCCCAGTGATTGGGCCAAAGTCACCCAGATTTCATGCCTAAGGTGCCACTAGAATTCACTGCCTCCCAGTGATTGGTTCAAAGTCACCCAGATTTCATGCCGAAGGTGGCGCTAGAATTCACTGCCTCACGGTGATTGGCCCAAAGTCACCCAGATTTCATGCTGAAGGCAGCACTAGAACTCACTGCCTCCCAGTGATTGGGCCAAAGTCACCCAGATTTCATGCCTGAGGCGGTACTAGAATTCTCGGCACTCCTGGTTTCCCACCTGTTGTCTTAGCTCCTAGAACAAAACATGTCACCCCGGGGTCTTTAGTTAGAGATATTGAAGTCTCGTATTATTTTTCTTATCCTTCCTTGCTCCCTGTAGCAAAGCATGAGGGAGAACAAAGAGAAGCAGGCCCTCGCCGACCTCTTGATCAAGCCAGTGCAACGAATTCCACGCTACGAACTTCTGGTCAAAGTGAGTATCTCAAGCAGGGCTGTTCAAAAGAAACCACCATCGGAGAGATCCAGGGGAAACCCCTTTTTCACCTGACTGACTGCAGAAGTTGTATACAGGGAGTCCTCGATCCTACGACTAAACCGAGCCCCAAGATGTCCGTTGCTAAGTGAGACGGTTGCTAAGTGAATTTTGCCCCATCTCACGATTTGTCTTGCCGCGGTTGTTAAGCGAATCGCTGCCGTTTTTTAAAGTTGCTAACACGGTCATTTGAGTGAATCTGGATTTCCCCCTGGACTCTGTTCATCAAAAGGTCGCAGAAGGGGGTCCCATGACCCCCCCCCCGGGCACTACGACCATCATAAATGTGAGTCAGCTGCCAAACGTTTAAATGTTAGTCACATGACGCTAGGGATGCTACAACGGGTCGTAAGTGTAAAAAATGGTCATAGGTCACTTTTTTCTTTAAAAAATTTTTTAAAAATATTTTTAATATACATTTATATCATCTTTGCAACACATCTTTTAAATATCCATTATGTTTCTTTTGTCTATACATATATACCTTATACATCTATATCTATATATAGCAATAGCAATAGCAGTAGACTTATATACCGCTTCATAGGCCTTTCAGGCCTCTCTAAGCGGTTTACAGAGAGTCAGCAT